TTTGTGTGCGTGTTGATGGCGCCGCTCTGGCTGCGACAAATTTTTAGCAACAGCAGCCACAACAGCAACATCAACAAGAACACACACCAATGAGAATTTTATTGTGAAAATATTTATCGTGGCTGTCACTGCTTCTTTTACTGCTGCGGCTTTTGTGTTAGTTTTGCACTCTCACTCTCTATCTCTCCCTCCCTTCCCAGGGCTCCATGGCAACTCCAAGATTGAGCCAAAAAAAAAAAAAAATTTAATGCTTCTCTTCCTCTCTTGTCTCTCTTCTCATCGGCTATGCCGCAGTCTGCAGACGACCGCATTTTGTTGTTGCCTTGGCCGTTGGCTTCTGACAACAACAATAAAATTGATGTCACGTTTTTATGACGCCTTTGATGAGTCGTTATCTTTGATTTGAGAGCGCGTACACGCAGCAGCCACACCAGAAACAACAACAGCAACAGCAACAACAAAAACAGCAGCACAACTGCTGCGTAAATTTAAACAATTGTCAGGTGGGCTGAAATGGACGTTATGGCATTATTTTAAAACTTGTACTTTTTGTTTTAGTCTGACGCACATAATTCATTGTTTTTGGTTTTGTTTTTGTTTTTGTTCATGTTTTTCTGTTTGCTTTTGTTGCCCTTTTTATCAGCATGATATTTGCAAATTGAAAATTCGCGAATGCCTACGACGCGTCTGGTCGCTCTTGTGTACTCTTTACGTATACGTGACAACATTTTCTAAATCAAATATATTACTCCAAGTCTTATCCAGAAAAACGTAATTGTAACTATAACTTTAATTTAAAATTCACATTAATTTAAATTTCACAACACTTGAAATATTCATTTCGACCGCCTAACAGTTTCTGAACAAATTTTCTTCTAACAACGTTCGGACGATTTGCATAAAATGGTATAAAAAAGTCATTGTACGGAAAATTTTTTTATAAAAACACAGGAACATAACTAGATATGGGAAAGTTTATTGGCATTGCCAATAACATTGGAAGGTTCGAAAATTCTGGTATCATGTCGATGTACTTATAATATATTGTAAAAGCAGAGAAGTACTACAATGACAAGGAAATATAGCTAACATACTTATTTAAATAATTGTTTTTTATCCAAACATAAAGTGGAACGAACTGATTGCTTTTTTCGAAAGTTCCCTTAAAAAATATCCAATTGCAACTAATCAATGATCAAAGGCCACTTAACTTTCTTGGTAACACATTAAATTAATGAAAAACATGACAGTGAAATACCCTGTACTCAGTCAAACTTCCGACACTAAAACAGGTGTTATATGCGCCTCTAACAGAATCAAAAAGAAGAAGAAGAGCGAACTTGGTGCTGCAGTTTTTGGGCGTAGTACTGGAGAGAAATTGTTTCGCGAATAACTTTTCTTAGAATTGACCGATTTGGATGAAATTTGAACCAAAAGTAGATATTTGTAAATAAATGACGTGTGCACATTGTCTTGAAGCTTTCGAAATGTGGAATGTATTGACGAGACGTGGGAAAATCAAAAAAATAAAATAAACTTGTATAGACTAGGGACTACTTGTAGGAGCCTCTGCATATAAAGTTTGGTTAATGTAAGCCCAGCCGTTTCCGAAATTAAGGTGTCCATCCAGATAGACGGACAAACAGACGTACAGACAGACGTACAGACAGATGGACGAACAGACAGACAGATGGACGAACAGACAGACAGGCAGACGAACAGACAGACAGATTGATAGACGGACGGAAATGTATATATCGATTTCCCTCGTCACGCTGATCAAAAATATATATATATATACTTTATGGGGTCGGAGATGCTTCCTTCTGCCTGTTACATACTTTGCACAAACCTAATATACGCTTTTTACCCTACGGGTACAGGGTATAATAATATGACTGATTGCTAGCCAAGATTTAGCTTCAGACTCGGACACTTTAAAATAAATAAACTAATTGGATAGTCTTGAATAGATACATAAAATAAATATTAAGCAGAAATATATTTAAAAAAATATAAAATGCATGTTTATCTTTTAAGTATGTAGCATTTGAGCATTTCAGTGATTAAAATACGAGCTTCAAGTTGATTTAAACAAGCTTGAAAACGTAAGCTACGAGTAAATGGGAAATTTAAATGAAACTAGAAGATTTTATTTCAGATGAGTCTTACAAAACATTAGAACATTAGTTGGAATAGTTAATAACAATAATAACAAAAATGCACAAAGAGCTTTGATCCCTCTGCTTGGAAAAATGCTATGTTAGCCTTTTAGTTCATAACGTTATTGATTCTACCTGCTAATCAACTTTTTTTGGATTCAATATCTTACAAATAAAATCCAATCCGCCAACATACTCATGCATATGCATATGAAAAGAGTGCATTAAAAATATAACTGTTTAACGACGATAATGGCTGTAAATCTCTTTAGGACAGTATAATTACCAATAGGTTAGATTAGGTTGACCCGGTGGACCGTAGGCGGCAGTCCCACATAGACCGGATAGTTGGAGATCGGTAAGGGTTTATTGTTAGTATTCCATTAGCAGCTTGCTTTGTTTTGCGAACGCCAGCAGTGCTTTCGGGGAACATTTACCTGTATCCTCCATCCTATCAATAAATTGAACTGCTAAGTTACATTGATCCTATTGCTTTCGAGATTAAGGTTATTGACCAAACCTATAAAGATTTAATCTCGGAGTACGTCATAGAAAAAAAAAATAGAACAAGTCGGTGTGCAAAAAATGAATGTGACGCTTCGTGACTTACAGTCAAGGGCGTAGGCAGCTTTTACCAAAGGGGGGGCCAAAAAATTAAAATGTTGATTACATAATGCACGATGCATTTAACTTAATAATAACTTATGCATATGATCAATGAAAAAACTTCAACAAATCCAACTCAGATCCATTTTAAGGCGAAATAGTGCGTCACAATAATGAACGTGTCCCCCTGCCTACGCCCTTGCTTGCAGTATTTCCTTATACTGACAAAGAATACATTTTGGTGTCACAAACCCCTTCACGACTCCATAAGAACTTTCTTACCTTCGGGTGCATACAGGGTATAACTCGCAAAGAAACACGCAGCAGACGCGGCGCCTTGGCTTTTGTTTGCTCCAAAGTGGGCTGCAGGGGGGGCGGGGCTGGTCATAACAATGGCTGCCAGTTGTCATGCATTGGCTTAGCTTTTGTTTATCGATGCTTAAAATATTGCACGTTTTTGTTGTTGCCCTTGTTGTTGCTATATGCATAAGTATTTGTACAGACGTCCGTGTATTGTTTATGACTAAAGCAGACAGAACTATAAAACACAGCTGCGCCCACGCGTTGTTTATAAATGTGGCCAAGAGCTGTGATGCTGCTCCTGTTGCTCGCCTTTCTCATATTCCTAACTAGAGGCATTTGGGTATGTGCCTGGAACGCGCTTCCATTAATAAAAGGGGCAGCATTCACTCCCAAAGACTGGTTTGGGTTCGGGTTCATGCTTAGCCCTCTTCGACACGTCGGGGCTGGGCAGATAGGGTCCGGCTTAGTTCGGCTTTGCTCTATTCGTACCCATAGTTGGTGCAGCAAAGAATGCCGCACGAATACGTCTTCAGGGTGAGGGCTTATGCGACCCGCACCCATTGGCCGATTTGTAGTCACGGCTTTAAAAATACCTCTCTGCCTCGGGGAGTATGTTGGGCTTATGGGGACTCATGCAGCCAAGTAGTTCGGTAATATCTGTTGTGGGTATAGAAGTTGCGGTCCTGAAAAAAGTCGTAGTTCTGGCTTTTCGCATCAGGAGGGGATAACTTTGAAGAAGATAACAATTATTTTGATAAATAAATCAACATTTGGAATGCTGCGACTATAGCCGAACTTTTGGGTAATTGTTGTTCACAGTTTGGCTAGCTCCGCCATTATTAGTTTTTGAAGTTATGAACAATTGTGTGTGAAGTTATTAAATACAGTTTCCTCGCGAAAGCATACCATGTGCCGAGCAGAGTTTGGAAACTGCTTGAATAGACCCTACATAGTATAAAAGTATAGTATGCTTGCATATATATAATATCTATAATGTATAGATATTCGAGCATAAAATAATTTCCTTAATTTTATTAAATTAAAAATTTTGCTTTGAGCTTCAGTGCGCAATATTTGTTGTTTGTAAGAGGCCATATGGAAAAATATGGATAATAAATTTGGACCGACAACAATTTGGAGACACTTAGGAAATCTCAACTATGAAATTGCGTGTCATCCGTCCGTTATACATATGTATATGTATATCGTTTTGAAATTCAAGCTCCCCAGTTTCACACCACCCACCCAATCCCATTACAATCCCATTCGATGATCTAATGCACTGATTTTAATGCATTTAACAAAGTATAGTTATTTATTATAGACTTTACTTTTACTATTTTGTAATTGTTCCAATTACTGTAAATTACGAGCGACACATTTGGAGTGGCACACACTCTCCGCGCTCGTTCCGCGCGAAGCCACGGGCGCAATGACAGCCTGTTGGTGATTTCCAGCAGCGACCACTGGCCCCACAGAAGGATTCGCAAGCGCAGGGCCCACCGCGACTGCTGCGACATTCATAGTCAGCACAACGTATCCCAATCGTCCATTGCGCCATCACAGTGCTTAGCCAAAATGACAACAGCAGCAAAAATAACAACACGCATCCGCGTCTTTTGAACATTTTACACAAATATTTGAGCTACGCTTTATTTATATGTAGATAGCAAGACAATGAGGTGCAGCTGTTCTTCATTTCGTTAATAAAAGCAAAAGCATGATATTGTTATTTCGATGACAAATTATTTAAATATACCGCCTCACCGCAATGACGTATTTATGAACAGTGCTGCCAGCCTGCCGATTGGCGTGTGAGCTATCGATATGTTATCGCTATCGCGTCCGTGTGATAAGACAGCTGCAATTAATGTGACAACGCGCTATTTACAGCGCAGTGGCAGCACCGCTAACAAGTATTTGTTTTCCTTCAACATTTCCGCACCAGCAGCAACGATAACAACAAAAACAACAAGTAGATAAACGCACGCTTGCATTAACAACAGCGGTTTACCTTTGCCACGCATAGTTCGGTTTTTTTGTTCAATGTGCTACTATTGATAAACGCAGGCGCCGTAGGGCACGCGCTCACCTAAAAACGACAGAACAACAAAAAAAAGGCGCAACGCTAGCAAACCAGGAACAACAACAACAACTGGAAAAACTTCGCCACTCCACCACAATTTGGGGCACCCAGCAACAGCCGTAGCAACGAAACCGACCGACGCGCAAGCAACGCGCTTGAGATATACGAAATATTCAATATTTTTGCCGTGCTTCCCATATTGTTTTCCTGATTCCCCGCGTCCCAAAAATTTCTATCTAGTTGGTGTGAAAAATTATTGTGAAAGAGCCCGCACGCAAACATACACACATACACACAAAAAATAAAGTGAGCAAAAATTGCCTGTTCTTTTTTGCTACATTTGTTTGGTTTTCTTTTTTCCTGTGCGCTTTCGATTTTGTGGCTATTTGCGAAATCGACGAGCAGCGGAGCGAGCGTCTGCGAGCAACAAAAACAACGACAATGGGAAATATGTTAATTGTTTTTAATTTGTTTATCTCTGTGTTGGTGTGAGGCTGCAGCATCAGCATCCGATACATATGTGCGTACGTGTTTGTTTGTGTGCATTTATTGAGCGTATGAGCGCGAGTGTGTACCAATAATAGTAAAGAATTAAAGCCCAAATCAAAAAGGCCAGCCAGTCGCCCATATTGTTGTTATTGTTTTTGCTGTTGCCTCTTCTCTATTTGTATCTCTTGACGCAATTAACGCGACGTGCTGTACAATTTGTCGAACGGGCGCAACAGCACAAAGGCCTTCTGATGAGTTTCAATTGTTTTCATTAAAAAAAAAAGGGAGAAAAACCAATCGCACAACTAATTTTTATGCACCCCCGCATACCATTGACGTCGATCAACGACACGCCCCGCTACACTTGCTTCCACACTAACAAGGGGAACAAAAACAACTGAAGGCACACGCCCCGCGTAGCGCAGTTCCAACCCCGCCCTACCTACAAAGGTCGTGGCAATTGAAATCCCCACATACACATAGCCATGGCCTCCAACAATTTCGGCAGCATCGGCGGCAATAGCGGATCGGGAGGAGCAGCTGCAGGTGCAGCGGGCATTGCCAGTGCCGCCAATTCAGATCTATGGCGTGAATGTGTCGCCTGGCTAACTCGCTGCAAGGTAATTCCACCCGACCATAAAGCTGCCCTGCCCGACGCCGAAATTCGAATACTGGCAATGACGCTTCGGGATGGCGTGCTGCTGTGCAATTTGGTCATTCATCTGGATCCCAGCAGTATGGAGGCGCGCGAATTCAACCGCAAGCCACAAATGGCACAGGTGAGACCAGAAGGCAAAGGCCACAAAGCAATCAGAGCTTTCTTAATAGAACGCTTTTTTCAACAGTTCCTCTGCTGTAAGAACATTAAATTGTTTCTCGATGTCTGCCACAACCATTTTGGCATACGCGACCAGGATCTGTTTGAACCGACCATGCTATACGATCTGACCAACTTTCATCGTGTGCTCATAACTCTTTCAAAACTTTCGCAATGCCGCAAGGTGCAGCAAATGCACCCGGATCTGACGTAAGACCCCAAAACTAGTTCCATCAACTGAAGATGAGTATGACATGGCATGTTTAAGATTCGTTAATATGCATTTATGGGTCGTTTAGAAATTGTGATAATGACAATCAGACTACATAGTACTCAAACATTTTTATCAACGCCCTGCACTTCTTACTTCCTGTCCACATTTAAGCGGTCTACGTTTAAAATTTTATGAAATAAAATTAATATAGATGATTGTCGTTACTCGCTCTATATTTCCAAAATGATCCCATACCATGGTCATATTGTACTTCACCATAATAAACAAATGAAGATCGCCTACTAATTTATTCCAACACACTCTTGCAGCGGTTTCAATCTACAACTGTCGCCCAGCGAGCGCTCTCATTCGGATGAGGCCATCTACAAGGACTTGCATTCCACGTAAGTTTATATTCGGTTATCTTGGCTTAAGCTTAGTACGGCCCTGTTCTCTCCCGTATTATTACTGGTGGCGCATTTTGCATTTCCTGTCCCGAGAGTCGAGAAGCCAACTGCTTACCTACCCGTAGTACCCATTGTATGCTCACGTAGCTTGTCTGCCCTCAGCTGAAAAAAAATAAATAAATCCCCCTAGCGCCTCATACCAAAAAAAGTTAAGCCCATGTGTAGCTGCTTATCAAAAGAATACCCAACAACGTAGACCATGTCTCCAGTGTCCCATCACATGCCACTGCTACGACTAACACTTGCTCTCTCTTTCGCTCTTTCTTCATGTACAGTCAACCCAGTCTTGAATGAACATCACCTTCATGGTAGCATCGTTTCGTTTCGAAAATGTGTCTATTATAGACAATGTGGATGTAATTCGTGTGTAATTCGTTGTGCGAAGCTTAGAATATATATTTTTAATTCAGCGACAAGATTTTAAGGAGTTTTTTGTTTGTGTGGACATTCATTTCATGTTAGGATTGTTTTTAACAAAGCAATACCTGCCGTTCCTCCACCATTATGTATTGAAAATCCATTGTTATTAGGTTTCGGTAAATTGTTCTTATAAATTAATTAGTTCTAAAAGAATAGGAAGATAATGTTTAATTTTTTATTAACTTTTCAACAAATTCAACAAAACGTGATAGGAACCAAATTCAATAGATCGTTTACTCATATATACGTAAATAAAAGGTTTAGGCCGCAAACTCTACAAGTGTAAGTTAAATTAAATGTTAAGGTTTCAGAAAGTCTTTGAAACTGGAATAAAATATGTTCATCTTGGCCGGTTTGACTGTAAATTCATTCACTGTCTTTCTTCGTATAACACGGCACCTGCTCTATTTCTCTCTCTTTTACTCTATCTCTTACCGACTTCATATCTGACTCTGTGTAATGTTATACGCTGTGTGTGTGTGCGCGCATTTGTTATGATCCCAAACAACCACCTCGTGAATGCAGTGATATGAATAAGACTGGCAGCATTGACGCTTCCGGGTCCTCTTCTACCGAGTATTACGATCGCACCTCCCAAAGCGGCTCGCTGTCTGTGGAGGATGAGAACAGCGATATAACTATTGAGAATGGTACCGAAGACATCGACGACTACATCGAAGACTCCCTATCGAACATGTGTGATACGACAATTGACAATGACAGTGCCGGCATTGTCCACATCGAAGCAACACATTCCGTCCACCATCAAAACAACAACAATAACAACAACAACTGCAAGCAAACAACAGCCAGAACCAGTTGCAACTTGCGGGCTCTTTCATTGGACATGACACTGGACCCAGAAGACGGTGGGGGTAGCACTTCGGTCGCAGTTACGCCCACCCCTGAGAGCGCTGCGAACCACTCCAGCTCCAAGGAGTTACCGCCCAAAAATGTTCTGCCGTCGCGAACCAGCTCAGGATCTTCAGGAGCAGCTGGTGGCAGTGGCAGTGGCAGTGGCGGCACGCATGCCCCGACAATGCGCCATGTGTCCAGTTCCTCATCTACATCGTCGCTGTTTGTGAGTGAAAGCCAACGGTTGCAGCGCGCCGCCGCTGCTGTCTACAATTACCGCTCCTCGACGGCCGCAGACCACGAGTACGCATACATCAATGACATTTACAGTGAAGATGATGAGAAAGTCTACGAGGACTTATGCTACGTCACGTTCCAGTCCAAAGACAAACCAGAGGTGTGCTGCACTTTCCATACTAAACGTGCTATTGTGTCCTCCTCCCATACACCCACAACCTCCTCCACCACCACCACCACTAACAATCACTCTGCTATGAATCTCTGCTTTTGACTGTATGTATGTATGTCCACATACTCGCCACACAACCACTTAAATCATATCCAGATATACCCACCTGTTTTACACAGCTCTAGGCTTTCTATTTTTTTACATACATACATAATATCCCCATATCGGTTTGAAGCCGAACCTGTAGTAGAATGAAAATTTATTTTATTTATATAGTAATCTTCAGTTTGTAACTTATACTAACTACATCCACACATTTATACGACTTGTGTATGTCCCATTTGTTTCCGCACGCCATGTAGCCACGTACAGATCAAATAATAGGCGGTGCAATAACATAATATTACAATCAAAACCGTAAATAACATTTCTTAGAAGATTTGAGGTGGTGGTAGAAAATGAAATGCCGATGCAAAAATATTATAGCTTTAGAGTTGTTGACAGTATAGACAAAATTCTATAGCTCCTCCGCTAAAGGATCAGATATAAAAACGAAATTCTCAAGGAGCCACATTTGACAAGGAATCTTTTCATGAAATATCTTAAAACCCACCCATGTCACTTGTTAAACATTGTACCCGAAGACTCTAAGAGTATACTAAGAAGTCTAAATTAACAGGTAGAAGAAGACGTAGCAAACAATGTTATTGGTAAACGCATATACATATTAGTCTTGAGAATTTCGGGACCATAATACGACAAAGATGAAAGTTAAGGTTTTTTAGAAACAATACATACATAGCCTTGTTATTTAATAAAAAATACTTCAGCTATCAGCAGGAGGGCTCAGCTTTATGTCGCTTTTTGGCACTATCCGAGCAATATGCTGAAAAAGCGATTATTAAACAGGCTATAGCTGGTTCTTTTATTCCCCATCGGTCGGATTCTGCAAGAACAATTATTATTGTAGTGTAGATTAAATGAAAGGTGTCCGCGAATTAGGTCATCAACAACAACTTTATTTGTCTTTCTTAGATAATATTCCTTAAAATATTAGGTATTGTACATAGATTATGGAGCGGTGGCCCGGACGCCTGATGAACATTGCCGTGAAAAAATTTATATTTATATTATAAGGGTACAACAATTAATCTTTGGCAAGTGTTGAAAAACAAAAAATACTTTGGCATGCCGAAGGTTTTCTATCTTATGCAAATCATGGTTTGCCGCTGCTCTTGTATTTTGTTGTGTAAAGTAGTGTGTTAGTTTTTATGTAAACTATACATATATCATTACTTAAACGAGTATGTTTTAAGTGTATTTTATTTTCTATTATGTCAATACGATCTCAAATCGAGTGGCGCTTTTGCTTTTCAAGTCTTTTCATTCAATAATTTTGATTTTCTTGGTATATAATTATGTATACTTATGTATGAATGAGATGCAAAATTCAATTGAATGATGGAAAGTGTCAAAAAAAAAAATCATGTGTAGTAGTTGCGTTGATAATGAGGAACATGTAGCATCTTATGCTTGAAGTTCTTCGCATCTCACCTCCCGGTCTGTATTAGGCATTGCTGTCGCTGTCGGTGTTGTCATCTGTACTAGAGCTGCTATTGGAATCGCCTAGGTCCTGACCCATGGCAATTAATAGATCCACATTAGCGCTAGGCGCCAGCTCCCGCAGAGCCTGGCCCACAACTGTGCACATAGTAGCTACGCGCAACTCCATGCGCTGCTCATAGTGACGACGATGGCGATAATACTTTTCCTTTTCAGTCAATTCCTTCTTTTTCTTGGGTCGAACACGGGGTCTGTTTGCCCCATGGTCGAAGGCAAGTGAACGTTTGGCGCTCACTTTGCGAGAAAATTGATTGTAGTTAGATTTGGAGACTTCCTCACCAATCATGACTGGACCCATTTCGTAGTCATCATCGATCTCCACACAAGATTGCTCCGGCGACATGTACTCGCCAACAATTTCTGCTGGACTATTCCCTCGTTCCAGCACCACATCCAGCTCCTGCATCCTTTGTACACTCTCTCGCTGTGCACCGTCGCCCGGCTCAGGATTATGATTGAAGTTTTCGCGCTTAGGAGCACACACCAAAAGCTCCGTCTCTCCGTTTGTGGCCGTTGTTGCCGCATTATCTTTCACATCCTGGTCGGCTTCGTCTACTGGTTCCTCTTTTACGCCTTCTTTGGTATTACCGACAGAATCCTTCTGGGGCATTGAATCTTCCGATTCCTCACCCTCATCTTTCCTTTCAGACTTTTCGCCAAAACTATGATCGTTAAGAACACCCAGCATATGAGGCGATAGCTCGGCCTGATCACAAGAGTAAACACCAACTATGGCTAAATTGTTGGTTTGTTCATTGGCCTGATTCGGTTCCTTCAGCGCATATGAATGCAGGTCGTTGGTCTTTTGATTCATGTAGGCGTGAATGAGGCTGAAAAACTCCCATTCCTTGTTTAAATCTGCAATCGATTTATCATCCATAGGGGAAATAACAATTTGGGCCTTCAGCTTGCGATAACGCTGAACCATGCCTAACCACTGCTTGCGCAGAGCATTCTCGCTGTGGTCGTTTATCTTAGCCAAGTCCTTAAATTTTCTGAAAACAGCAGCAACACAAAAATTGTTTCAAAAATAAGATCAAACAATGAGTTTGCAAGAAGGTGCAGAATTTTTTTATTTTTACTTACTTCCATGCATCGATGTTTGTAGGAGAGTGCTTCGAGAATAAATCATCATGGGCAATGCGCTGCATAACTAACTGGCGCTTCTCCTCCACGCTCCCTGCATAGACATATAATTCAATTAAATACTGGGATCCTCTAGTCATCTTATACGGTACTCACATTTCTTCGAGCCACTTTTCGCGTATGTGTGATGTTCCATGTGTTGCCGTCTGACGTCCGCTTGATTGTTTTAGCTCAGAATTTTGGTCGCTTTGGTTCCGCGTTTGGCTTCCAATATTTGCAGCTTTAACGCTGCAGCGTTTAACGTCGCCGTACAAACGTGCCCGTGAAAATGCAAGAACCTTGATCAAAAAAGTTGCAAGAAATTGGGAAACGAAGCAAAATTAAAATAAATTTTATCTTTTTGCCACTGCTGCCGTCGTGCTGCCTAAATGAGAAATCTTGCACACCACTCTTACAGTCAGATGTTTTACTCTGCCCAGATTGATGGCTGAGTAGAACACGGTTGCGTTAGTGGCAACTCTCATAAGCTTTTGAGTCGGTGCTACCACATCGATAACTACAATCCAGCGCTGCCATACAACCAGCTGAAAATGTACTTCACATGCGCGCGTATTAAATTCTATTTAAATTGGAGTGCATTTGTAGTTTTTGTACTTGTTTTATTTTTCTTATTATTTTATTTTTTATTATTTATTTCATTTAGTACCACCGACAATATTGCATGCAATGGAACCGTTTATGATCACACCAACACTAAAGAAGAGGAGGTCTACCAAGACTTGTGCGCATTGCACAGAACGAATAGAAGCCAGGTAGAATATTTATTTGTGATTTTTTTGTTTTTAATTTTGCACTGCAAAATTTGCCATATGATAAAAAGCTTGTCAACAAAACAGCTCAACATGCATGACACTGCGTTTGTCCCAGCACAAAAATTATGAGCTCTCTGTACTAAATTGAGTTTTACAATTTTAATGTTGCATGCTGCTTTATTTAGACTACATCGGCAACTAGTTTTGAGCAACGTGACTATGTTATACGCGAACTCGTTGATACGGAGTCAAATTATCTGGATGTGCTGAATGCCCTAAAGGCAAAATTTATGGCCCCTCTGGAGCGTCATCTGAATCCGGATGAATTAAAACAAATATTTCCACGAATTCGGGTGAGTATTGTAGGCTAAAATATTTTTTATGGTTCATTAGTTACCATCAATATAAAATAGTCCTTTTGACGAGGTGGGCCATTTATTTTAACAAAATTTGTGCCTAAGGAACAAGACTTACCAAATTTCTGATATCAATTTATCATTCTTTTTTTAATCGATCATGTGCGTCTGTTTTAATCCAGGAGTTGGCCGATATACACACCAAATTTCTGGACAAGTTGCGCGAATCCTTGCTGCCCAACACCGAGCTGAAGATGGGCCAAGTATTTCTGAATTTTCGCGAACCATTTCTGATTTATGGCGAATATTGTTCATGTCTGCTTAATGCCATTGACTATCTGGCCGATGTGTGTAAAAAGAATTTGATCATCGATCAGTTGGTGCAGGTAAGCAAATCCGTACAATTGGCTCATCCATTTCCTAACTAACCCAGAAATGCTTTTAGAAATGCGAACGGGACTACAATGTGGGAAAATTGCAGCTGCGTGACATTTTGTCAGTGCCCATGCAGCGCATACTCAAGTATCATTTGTTGCTGGACAAACTGGTCAAAGAAACGTCCCCTGTACGTTACAACTGCACATAATATCATTGAACAAAAATTAATGAATACATTGTTATATATCCCGTCAGGCACACGATGATTATCGTTCCCTAGAACGCGCCAAAGACGCCATGATCGATGTCTCGCAATATATAAATGAAGTAAAGCGTGACTCCGATCATTTGGTCATTATACAGAAAGTCAAGGCAAGAGTTTTTGATTATATTTTAGAATTGACCCAATCTAACGAATGTATATAATTGTATTATTACAAACAGGACAGCATTAATGACCTGCACTTGCTACAGAATGGCAACGACCTTAAGCAATACGGCCGCCTCCTGTTGGACGGCGATCTGCACATTAAGGCCCACGAGGATCAGAAAACTAAACAGCGCTATGCCTTCGTTTTCGACAAGATTCTCATATTGGTGAAACCTCTGAACATTAAAACTGGCGATATGCAGTACACGTATCACGATTCACACAAATTGGCCGATTATCGTGTGGAGCAAAGTCACTCACGCCGGACTCTGGGCCGAGATAATCGCTTCAAGTATCAGTTACTCTTTGCACGAAAATCTGGCAAAACTGCCTTTACACTCTACCTGAAATCGGAGCATGAGCGTGACAAATGGCGCAAAGCGCTCACGGACGCGATGTAAGTGCGGATTGAAGGTTTTTCCTTCTTAAAATGAAAACTGTTTCCTCCCGATAGATATCTATCGAATGTACTTAATTTCGAAACCAAATCTAATTGGTGGTCATTTAACACGCAGGGAAACAAATTGAATTACTTAACACAATACTTAGTACTATTAAGAGACATTATTTAAGTCCTTTAACTGCACTAAGTATCCGGACTTTCACTGATTTTTAGCAAGTAGCTTATTATTAAAGTCTTAAAGCAGCAGTCCATTCAAATTGTATTTGCAAGGTCGAAATTTTGGTTACTGATTTAACCTCGTCTTGCTACACCCTCGAAATAAGTCTGCAAAGAACGCAGGGTAGTAATGTTTAATGTTATTATGCGAACTTCACATCGAAAGTGAATTACTTAGATTTTCCAATTCGTACCTTCTTGCATACCTGCTACAGATTCTGCAGATTCTGCACACTGCTCATATTTTACAAATTCTGTATGTATTGGTCTTACCCATAAATCGAAATAATTCTGTAGACAATTCGCTTAACATATAGTTTAAGATTGTTTTCGTACTCCGATTATAAAATTTAAGGGAAGCGTGTTTCCACTTAGAATACCCTCAGGTTTAATATCTTCAATACTCCACCTTCTTTCAGGGAAAGTCTCGACCCACCTGGCTGTCGCAACACAGACCACAAAATGGAAATCTACACCTTTGATGAGCCCACCACGTGTAAACATTGCTGCAAATTTCTCAAGGGACGCATTCATCAAGGCTATCGCTGCAAGGTATGCCAGATAAATGTGCACAAGGGCTGCATTTCCTCGACAGGACGCTGCAAACAGAATCCGGTTAGCATACCACCGCCTGTATGCGATCGACAACTATCCGAGTTCAACTGGTTTGTGGGAAACATGGATCGAGAGACGGCAGCGAATCGCCTGGAGAATCGACGAGTTGGCACTTATCTGCTGCGTGTGCGTCCCCAGGGAGCGTCCTCGCCACACGAGACCATGTACGCGTTGAGTTTAAAGTGAGTTGACAACCGTTCACTGTTTCTGAATATGGCACTACATTATTTTTGTTCACGTTGTAGAACCGATGATCATGTAATCAAGCACATGAAAATTAATCAGGAGAACGATGGCGAGTCCATGCTCTATTGTTTGTCATCGCGGCGTCACTTCAAGACTATTGTTGAACTCGTTTCGTACTATGAACGAAATGATTTGGGCGAGAACTTTGCTGGGTAAGTTCTATATATCTTCATAATTACGAGTATGTCTCTACAAGTATTATTAGCGCCAGTTTATAGTTAATAGAAGTTTGCATCTAGAGCACATGTTATTACTATCTTACTTATTCAATAAGTGCTACCTCAGCTTAAATCGATAATATAATTTCATGCATCGGCATCTATATAGTATAGTAGATAGTATAGTACATCAATTGGAACAAACCTAGAATGTACATCCTCATGTCGTTTTGTGTGGTCAGTTGGTTGCCTTGCTTATTCGCAGTGGCCACCAATTTTTGAAATGTTCAAATTCAACAGTTGGAGGAATACCAGTATTTCCAGGTTACTCAGTCAATATAAAATTCCATATCCTGGCTGAGCAGGTGGACAGATTTGTTCGCTCTCTTTATGTGCCCCCAATCTTGCCTGGACTAAAGATTTAGCCTGATTTGGCAGGTCCTTTGATTAGAGTTAGCACCAACATTTTTATTATCTCACAATGTTGTAAGTACCTGCATTTTAAGCGGACTTATTACTGCCTTAATGTAGTTGTGCAACTAATTTGAAAATTATGTACAATAAAAAAAAGCTCTTTGCGTCATTAGGAATAAGTTTTTCGTAGGAAGGAGTAGTGATTGAAACAGGAAGAAGGGCAGCCCTTCGACTAACGATCTGGATTTATCTTGGCATTTTAATTTTATGAATACTTATGTACTTATTAAATTTTACTACCATTTTTTAAACTATAGTTAAATTCAAATGAAACATTTCAAATGTATAGTAATACTGTACGGTTTCTTTTCCCACAGGCTCAACCAGTCTCTTCAGTGGCCGTTTCGCGAGGTTATTGCCACCGCCCTTTACGATTATGAGCCAAAGGCAGGCAGCAATCAACTGCAATTGCGCACCGATTGCCAGGTGCTGGTCATTGGCAAGGATGGCGATAGCAAAGGCTGGTGGCGTGGAAAAATTGGTGATACGGTAAGTGGTTGGCAAATTATTATATGAAGGCCTATTTTCCTATTTAACTTTTTTATTTCCTCCCCTGACAGGTTGGCTACTTTCCCAAGGAGTATGTGCAGGAGCATCCACCAACTAGCGATGAGCTTTGATATTACAATTATGAAGTGTATTTTGAGCCTAAGACGGCGACGCCCACGAGCAACAGCTCCATGGGCTTAGGCGTAGCCGTCTGTGTGGACGTGGACGTAGAGGTGCGAAGCGAAGCCATTGCTGAAACGAATAATATAGCTAATGAGGTTGAGGAGCGTGCCGCTGCTGACAACAATAATTGTAGTTAGAACCACAAAAAGTATGACATGCCTAGCAAAAATGTGTAGACATTATTGTTGGACTTGTTTATCAAACAAATCTTTAGTTAAATTAATATTTTATGTTTTATAAATCATATTTTATATTATTTTAATTTTTTTTTTTTAATTTTTTGCGTTTGCTCGAAACATTTGTGCCAACAACAGAACAATTACAAAAATGCATTGCTTATGTTTAATATAAAAATCTGTTTGAATGTTAAATGTTAACTTTATGTATATTGCAAATATATATATATATAGGTATATTTAAGTAAAAACTGCGCATATCGTTAATACTCTAACGCGCGTCTAGCATTGAATTCTTATTTATTTCAATTACTTTCTCCCATTGAATGTTGTACATTTTCTCATTATATTTAAGTTGTAAATAAGCAGAGTTTCATTTGATTTTTTTCTGTCTAGCATATTTTATCAAACAAATTAAAACAAAAACAAAAATACATACACACAATGCCCATGCAATTTTTAGGGCATTTCTTACAAGAAGCTTTAAACTTTATAAACATATACACATATATACTATTATTATGTTTAAATTGAAACGCGAATGTTAACAAAACAAAAGCAACGCAGTCATGAAAAGTGACAAATATAAAACAACAAGGCAAACGAAAGCTTTAGCAATAAAAAAAAATACAGAATGTTTACAAAAAATAAACATACAATTTTAACAATATACTAAAGGAAAAGCAAAATTTATAAACTACAACCATATATATATATAAACATATATTAAATGTAAAACTATAATGTACCTAGCCAGCATAAAATCTATAAGAAATACAAACTACATTTTAATGTTCGGCGTATTGTGTATGTGTGCATGAAACGCAAGATCCCTTGTAACTACTTAGCATACAACTTAGATAGTCAACTTTTAAAAAAATGTACGCCAACTTCCGTGCGCATTTACATATTCATCCATGTACTAGTTGTACGTACAACATACTACATAAAATTCAGTCAAGTTTCCATTTATTTAAACCTGACGTATTCATCACATTTTTAACTAATAACGATTTCTCTATGTGTTCAAATGCAATTACATAAACGTATAAACGTAACAATTACAGACAAGAGTTTTAATCTAAACATATAACGCGCTATCTTAGCAAAAGAAAATTAAATGCTTAGTGCTAAAAATCAGAACTCTCAAGACTCTCTCAAATAACTAATGTGTTGTACACGGAAATACTTAAGGCATGCTTTTTTCAGATCTTTTCAATACAATACAATATCTATATCTATGAGTCCGATTGCATTCCGCTCCGGTTACAGGTTACAGCTGTGCACCTTAAATTGTTAAACTGCAAATGTTTTCTTCATATTGCATGTGCTATTAACTAATTATTACATATGCACAAGCAAATCAAAAAATACAATGTTGATTTGTTGCTATATTGTGTGGTTCTTAGAAACTTTAAATTTGGCTAAGAGCTCGAATTGCATTTATGAAGAAAAACTTACAAATCAAAACGCACATAGGGGACACAATGCGCTCTCTCCCTTAGTCACAATTCCTTGTTAATGCTCTCTATTTTGGCTCAAGCACTTCAACAACGAAACTAGAATCGAAATCGGAACTATATTGTTTATGTGGTTTTATGTGTAACTACAAGTACATGATTAAGGACACGCACTGTGCAATTATTTGACTGCTTTTATTTTACTTTTTTCTAATATATTCGCATCTAATTTCTCTGTCTCTCAAATAAAAGATAAAGTAAAGAAAAGTACTTTATGTAACAAAAACAAAAAGGAAACGCTAATAAACTACTTTGTGCAAGTTTTGTTGTTAAATTAAAGAGTTTTTAATCTGGGCTTGAACTTATATGTTGTATAAAAGGGTATATTTAAAGTGCGGTGATATGTCGCTTTGCCATGTCCGTCCGTCCGCTCGTTAGGACGAACGCCTGAATTTCGATTCATTCTAAGAAAAGGTTTTAGCGAAACAATTTTATTCCTGTATTTCGACCACAAACTGCTCTTCTCATATTATATCTTGTTTTTGTATTGTTAAAACAATTTGTATTTGTAGCCCCGGAAAATTGTGTTGCTCAGATTACGAAAATTTATTTCTGCATTTAAAATGCTTGAGAACATGTTTAGATTTGTTGCCAAAGTAATGCTCGGTAGTAATTGAAAAAGGCGGTATTTTTCCAGCTGTTGGAGGCATGCAAGCTTTCGTAAAGCTCGAAGCTCCGCTTATTGGTGGCTTAAGAGAAAGCGACTCTCTTTTTTTTCTATTGCTGATCGGAAAGAGAATGTGAAGCAATTCTGGAGAAAAAGTACGGTGAAGTCTGTTTAAATGGAACAGTGACTATTGAAGTCGTTTATTTAATTTCCCGATACTACTACATACTATACTACGAATAACAATTTTCTGATAATTCTTATAAATACGACCAAATACTACATTAAATGCTCTTTGTTTGCTTGATGCCCAACAGTGTCTCAGCCACGCCAAGAAAGTAGACTGTCTGGGCAATACCGAAGAGCGGAGCTATTACCATAACGCGACAGAGGCCGCCCTTGAAGAAAGCGGGCAACCCCTCGTGCTGCAGGGTTTTCCTGCAACGATTTATGAGAGTCTTATTGCACTATGGGCTACATTATTTCAATGCCCGCCACCAACTTACTTCACACAATCTACAATGCCGTTGAACTCCTTTTCACCATCAGCCTTCTTGATGGCCTGCAATCGCGTCTTGATGACATCTAGGGGCGTCACCAGAAATGCCGCCGTCATGCCCGAAAATAGTCCTGACATTAGAGTCCAATAGAAGACGGCCTCTCCGGAACCATCTGTTTTACGGGGCCCCTTGTCGTTGACCGTAGCGAAGAGTGGAAAGTAAACTACTGAAAAGGTAATGTCACGCACCCCCGTAGCCCCCACGCCCTTGTACAGCCCGAAGATGCCCTTCTCCTTGAGGAGCTGCTTGGTGAGACCCATCGCTGTCACCTTTTCCACCTGTCGGCCAGCGGCTCGTGCCGCGGAAGCTACACGGCCCGCATCCTGCATTTGTATCTTCAGCAGCTCCATGGGCGTCGTCACAACGATTTGAAAGGCGCCTGCCAAGCCGCCAGCCAAGCACTGCATGGGAATCGTCAATTTGCCTTCCGGAGTGGCCAGATGGAAGCGAAAATAGTCGTTGGCCGCCAGCTTGATGGCCTTCTCGGGAGTAATCAGGATAATGTTGACAGCAGATCCGCGATACATGCCAAAGTAACCCTCGGCGGCATACGTCTTCCGAAAGCAATCGAACCTATGTTCCGAAAGCGAATCAGCTATGTAAGATATGGTATTCGTATAGATTGTAAATTTTTCGACCCGCTTACATGTTGTTGTACATTTTTTCTCCATTTGGGCCAATCTGCTGATTTTGTAAGCGTGTCTTCACCAGGTCCAATGGAAAAACACATGTTACACCAATAATACCGGCGATTCCGCCATTTATAATTTTGGGTAATACTCTAGATGGATGTTCGGAATATGAGTTGATAGAACAGCCTTGTATCTAAAACTTACGCAAAATTTGAGGGCTTTTTGGCAGCCATTAATGCGCTTTAAAGTGTTCAAAAAAAAAAAATTAATATCTAGAATTTAGTTTGGCTTTGTTAGTGTTTAAGTGTTTATTTCTTAACTGATTTACTTTCCAAAGCTTAATTTGTTTTCTTGAGTGTTTGAAAAGTAGCCGAAAGAAAAATATATACTAACTAAATCATGTCCATTTAACTTAATTGGAAACAACTCTTCAGTTATTGATTGAACATGCATTCATTATCATTCATTTATATCATTTAGATTATAGAACATTAATAAAACGGTTTGTATTTGTCTCCTTAAGCGTTTCTTAATCCAATTCCAATAAATTTGTAATATAGAACAGAGAAACAAGTTTCGTTCCAAGGTCAAAGGGAGGATTTCTCTGTTAAGGTCTTCTTACTTTTAGGTGGATTTTCTAAAATTTCCATTTGTGGTACGATATTCAGTGATGTGGAGAAGAGGAGAACCAATACCAATAACTACAGTCCCTAAATTGTGTAAAGAACGGAAAATTGATCACAGTTTTCAATTGTTTATAAACTGAGTTTAAGGTTTATAACTTGGAGGCTTCATATTTGTTTAGATAGCTAATCCTTACTGTACTGTGCCACTTAGTGTTGCCCACTGAGGAGCATTTAAAAAAGCTAAATCAAAACTAATTAATTAAATTAAAAATTAAATAAAATAATAATAAAATAAAAAAATAAAATAAAAAATAATTTAATTAAATAAGTATACTTATCATTATTATTATTAAATAACCTACCGATCATTGGCTCAAAAGTAGCCACACTATTTTGAAAATTTTAATCCGCTTCAAGTGTAGGAGTGCTGTGTCCTTGTCAGGAGAGATCCTTTATACTACAGGAATTTCATCTTTAAACAGGGAGCTGGGCTTTCCTCCAGCGGCAATTCGAAACTGATGCACCCTGTCTGCAATCAATAAATTCAAAACTAGCGGAAAATAAAAAGTTGATTTGGCTACACTGGTGCCACCTCTTTTTTTCTGCAACGCAGAAAGTAAGCGCTCTTGGGCTTTCTTTCTTTCACTCTTTGTTATGGAAATACGCGATGCGTATGCGCGACTGCAATAGTCGAAAGCGAAGCACTTAGCTCTCTTAGACTCTCATTTGGCTCTCCTTCGCTCTACCCAAAAGATTTTTGGCCAGTTTTTGTTGTTGTTGTTGTTGTGCCAGCTGGAGCGACGTCGCGACGTCAACAGCAGCGCGTCGTGAAGTTTGTAAACTTGCCGACTTGCCGGCCCGGGCACGGGGCTTCATTGGCGGCTCTGAAGATTTGGCCAAATCATTCCGTTTGGAAGTTGTAACTCGAAAACGTGTTTGACAGATCGTTGGCGGCATACACGCTAGTCGCTGCATTCGGTAGTTTGTTTGTCTTTTGTTGCAAGCGCGCGCATTTCTTGTCTCTGGTCCCTGGCCTAAGTAATTGATTTATCGCCAAAGCGGTTGTTCACCGGTCAAAAATCTTAGCCAAAACCCAATCCCAATCGCAATCCTCGCGTCTATGTGCGTGCGTGTGTTTCCTTCAGTTCGTGTTTGTCTGTTATTTTTTGTTTTTGCCAACATTTTTCTGTTGTCGTCGTACGCGACAAATGTGAATAATTAAATAAAAAATACGAAAAGCATATGCAAAAATTATTTGTTTTTAAGCTCGCTGTGCCAAACAAATTAAAATGCAAATGGGAATTGGCACGAATGCCGTCAAAAAAAGCAAATAGTTTATTTCTACACATAAATTACACGAAACAAAAATCCTGTGAGAAATTAAATCAGCGATCATAGAAACAACTACAATTGGCAGCGAGAGGAGACAAAAGGTAATAAAAACATTTGAAATATCTATAATAAAACCATTCAATATTTTGTGTTAAATTTTTTTTTTTAATTTTTATATAATGTCTTTCTCATGGATTGAAATGTTTTGGTTCCAATACAAATACTCGAACATTTCACACATTGTTTTCTCCACAAAATTAATTCGAGATATTAGTTAGCAGAAGTGAATTATAGTTAGCACCGATTCAGGAAGAATGTAAATAGAAATAGAAAGAAAATTCGAGTACACAACTCCCATAACTGGCTCGATTCTTCATTCAATCCAAATCGAATTTTCGACTGACACTTTCGGTTGCATGTTTTGCCAAAATTCCACATAACTCATAATTAACAGCATGTACCTATTAACATTATTAAATTTTTCCAAAGCTATCATTATAAAATTTGTACGCTATACGATTTTCCTTTATAATCAATACCCCTCAGTCTGCGACCAACGCTCACACGCTTTTCAAGAAGCAGCCTCGTCTTCGTCCAACAAAAACGTCTGCTAAATGTCATGGTCTATTAATCCCATCGCTGCCCATTTTCTTTTAGAAATACATATATTACGCTTTTGTTTTTATTTATTTATTCATTTTTGTGCACTAAGTGCGTTAAATACGAACCATTGCGAGAGAGTGAATAGAGCGAAGTCGAACGTCAACATGCGATGCCTTAATAGTATACCAGTGCTTATTTTTTGGGATCAGCTGAGATCATTGGGTGCGATGGGAATGGTCTTAGCTGGGATCGAGCGCTGAAGTGGAAGTTGAAAAAAAAAAAGTTTTGTTAGAAATACCTGCTGCTACTGCGGATTATTTATTGCAATTCAATTTATTTTCGTTAATTGACACCAAGAGGACTACTGGGAAACAATTGGATGTGGATCTTCCATTAAAAGCCTTTGTTATTAAGGAATAACAGGCACGTATTTGAAACTCTTTTCGGCAACCTCGATAAGAAGACTTCCAGACGCAGCACAATTAGGGATTTCCTGCTAACAATTGCTGATCTTCATATTAAGAAAACAATCTCTGTGGCAACACCTGTTAAGATTCGCCTCAAGCAATCACTTTTATAAATTCCTTAAAGCAATTACTGTTTAGACTCAATTAAATCAATTTGCAGTGAGAAATTCTCGCCTAACTTTGTTCATCAGACAGCTAGTATATTCTGTTAACAAGCTCTACTCTCACCATCCTTTTAACTAACTCAGGGGTAACTTATATTTTCAAATTGGCAATTAAAGATAAAGACTTTCGGCAATCACTTGAGTAATCTCTTCTATTGCCAATCTGTCAGTTCGCACTGCCCAGTAGGCGCAATGGTTATACATAAGTGGTAGTGATCTCTGTTGGCAATTTTCGCTGGTTATCGCTCTTGGCGATCATGAAAAGCTGATCGAATTTCGCGTGTCTCTTGCGCTAATGCGATTCGCTTAACACATCGTAAGGTGTTGCGCCAAACGCCTCGATCCAGATCGCTGTTGGCCAAAAACTGTTGATCGATTCCGTTTTGACGGCCATCATAATTCAGATTTGCCAACGATATTTGATATCATTGCAATAGCGTCTGCAAATTGAATATCGGACCAAATGTTTCTGTTAGCAGCGGGCTCAACAAGATTTCAAAATAAGTTGACGGGAGGTTGAAATGCTGGTGCGCTTACAGTTAATCATGAGTACTTGTAGACTTGGTCGTCAGTAAGAACGACACGTCACAGTGTCTTCATGCAATTTCTTTTTTTTGTACAGTCAGACCTCGAACAGTGAATTCGCTGTGAGATTTCGGGAGTTTTTCTAAAAAAACATTTCTAAGAGTCGATTGATTGTGAATAAAACTTAATTACAAGAACTTTATTGCTCGCTTTTCCAGTCTATAATTATGAGTAATAATAATGATAATATTGTTTACATTTTAAACTAAAGTCCAAGTCTTTTTAATTCAGGTTATGAATATGACATTTTTTTAGTTTAAGAAACCCTTTTGAGTAATAAAACATTGTTGAACTTTGGGGCTTATGGCTAAATTTCATAATTACTTTAGGAATCCAAAGATTGAATTTTAGACACTATTTTTTTTTTGTTAATATTAATTTCCTTCATTAAGCTATTTAAAATATTCGCAAGACGCGGCAAAGAAATGGGGTTAGTTGAGAATTCATTTATTTTTAAATGTTGTGAAATTTATTTCTGAAATCAAAAAACGCTTAAATATAAATCAAGTTGGTAATTGACAAACAAAAGGACGTTTGTTGGCAACACAATCGGTAGAAATGGAACCAATCTTGGGCTTTAAAGATTGTTGTTTGAAACGATGTTAGTCAACGGCTTCAAAGACTTCTTTGTGGCATTATCTGAAATCTTTGATCTATGCTGAAAACCAGATGAAAGCCATTTTAGACAGAAGTGCAATTTTTAAATTCCTGTATTTTCTTAATTCAAAACCTTATAGCTCTTAAGAGCGCTTTTGAATATTGCTTGCGAATTGAACAGCGAGGCCAGACTGTACTTATTTAGTTAGTGGCTTAATGCTTTCTCTGTGCTGATGACAGTTCTAAGTGAAGGTATGTGAGTGTGTGCTTTTGTGGCATGCGCCTTGGCTGCGTTTTGTTTCGGCTGTTTGCTGGCAGCTCATTTGGAAACAATCTGTGGCAGACTCTGAGCTGAGACTGCGGCTGCGGCTGAAGGTAGTGGCAGTGACAAGCAGTCGCTCTGACTGAGTGAGTCGCCTTACTGAAAACTCGGCATGATTATTATTTTACTTGTGTACCCTGCAGCATATTGTTGTGGGTGTGTCAGTTTGTCACAAGCAGAATGAGGAAACAAACCTACTTTTAGGATGTGTTTCAATATTTTGACATCGTCTCTATATTAGATAGCTGTCTATGACTAAGAAGAAGATTTTGTGTGTGAAACCATTAGTTTCTAAGGATATAGGAACTGAACATTCTCAATATTGGGAGAATGTTGTGTTCATACCATGGATGACCAAACCCACTAAAGGTTAGCAAATACTTTCTTGGAGGAATCAAGTTTTGTTGTCAGACACAGTCTGAAGAGTATATAGAGAGTAGCTGTCTATGACTAAGAAGAAGATTTTGTGTGTGAAACCATTAGTTTCTAAGGATATAGGAGCTGAACATTCTCAATATTGGGAGAATGTTGTGTTCATACCATGGATGACCAAACCCACTAAAGGTTAGC